TTCTTTTTTAAAAGGCGTTTTGTCAGCTTCCTGCAGAATAGTGCACAGAGAGCGTAAACACAATATTATGATGAACACACCAGTGAAATTGTCATCAAGAAACAAGATGCAATGGTATACGGTACTGGACGATAACGACTCATCACCAAACCATCACATCTTGTTGTTGATGAACACTGAAAAGAAGAAACAGACAAATAATGTGTATACTGTAAAAAAAGTTTTGACGAATAAGACATTTCAAACTGCAGTGAAATGTGGCTGTTATTATGCCGACTCTTTATGACATAAACATATTCCAGCTAGTCAGAAATATAGTTCCTATAGATCTATAATTAGACTGCCCAGCTAGTCAGAAATACAGTTCCTATAGATCTATAATTAGACTGTCATAAAGCAGGCAGGCTTCAGACAGAAATGTTTTTTCATCAACTAAGCAAAGCTCCCCATTTTCCTACTCAGTTAATTGATTGCTTTTAAGGACGAGCGGGCTAACCCAGATAGTGGGGGTTTCCAGAAATCTTGACCTACACCAAATGTGGGCATTGCCCTACTTATAGTAGAAGAGTGGTTTCATTGATGTGTATATTTGTTTGGTTATAGAGAAACCTCTCCTTGTCTTTTAATGAAACTGAATAAGGATCCAAAAACTTTACCTTCCATTTTCTCAAAACAGCATTTTTTGGGATAGCCCCCCCCCCCCTGTTCTTAAAAGCGACAAATTTACTGGCCCCGACAAAAGAAGAGACTTGCGGGACTTTCACTGATTTTGTTTTTACGGCAAAATTGTCTTATCATATTTTACACGGAAATGCTTTGACCTCTGATTTCAGAGATATCAGCAAATTTTCAAAGGCAAAATCAAATATGGCAAGACATTTTTCAAAAACAAAAAAAGGCTTCTGTATTCCTTCTTCCCCCCCCCCCCCCAAAAAAAAAACAAAACAACAACCAAAAAACAGTAGTAAATAAATTGTATGAATGGTAGCCTACAATCTACCATCACTGAACCGTTCCTTCTGCAAAAACAATGAAGTGACGAAACAAAATGAAAAATCCACCTGTTTCCCAGTTCAGAGATGGGAGCAGGTTTCAGTTTCCTGTCGTATTATGATAGGATCAGCTGTTTATGAGATACACAACGACTAGATCTAGAGTGCTATATGCATGGTTGTAACACGGATGTCTGATGAAACTGAGCTAAGGGACAAACTCTGCGATGCCTTTGTAATACTGTTTATTCACTTTACGATTAACTGTTAAAGTCTTTGTACAAAAGTAATACATGGATTAAAAGAAACATAAAGCAGAAGGCATTTACACAGAGAAGCTACGGTAAATTATGTATTGCACCGACCAATCAGTTTATTGTCATTATTGTAAAGACCTCTTGTCAACCAAAAACAAAACAATTCTTACACACAGGAAAAGACAAACAAATAAACAAACATACAGACTGGAATACAGGCTAACAGGCATATAGAAGGTAAATATAGGTAACAGTGGGCTTCAATTTAAGATTCTTAGAAAAGGCAAAGAAGTAATTATTATTATGCTTCAAGTTTGAAAAAAGAATGTCAAGGGACAAAACTGCGTAATTACTTTTCGAATGGATAATTAAATAAACTGTTATGTCCCTTAACTTTTTCATTCGCGCAAAAATGAACACAAGTTGGTTCTAAATCCTTTCTTGTTAGGCTACATTTGACTAGATCTACTTTTTTTTCTGGAATCAGAAAACTTCACGAGAAATTTACTTTAAAAAAAAAGCCCTAGGAAAAAGTCATTTGAAGTAGTCTTCTTTGAACAAAAGATTATTTATTGGAAAGAAAGTAAGAATCAGCCAAACCGATTGAGTTCTATCAAGACAGTTTTTCAGACTGCTACAGTAACAAGAACAGTCTATAAGCTGTTCATGAATTCAGGCGGTAAAAAGCATTAACTAAACACCTAGGCCTACCCCCCCAAAAAAAGTTCAGGGACTGTGCGTATTGGCTGTTACGTAAAAGGTTCTGTATTTTGTTTAACATAAAATTAATCTTTCTCTTCTACTTAATGACTATCTGGAGTCAGGGCAGACAACGAAACTGGAATTGAGAAAAGGCCAAGAACAGAGTGAGAAAAAGGTCTATCATATAAGCAGCTTGGCCACTTGATGAACTCTATTCACTTCTGTAGCAACTTGGTACACAGCTATCACCCATCATCACACCATGCACGCATCCAACAAATCACATTCTCGCTGCTTCTCAAAACGATTGTTTCACCAAGATGCTTTGCCATTTTGAGAAAATGTACATTAAAAACAATGTATCCAAATGTAACAAAAATCAGAAATTAAGAGGAAAAAATTAAGAGGAGACAAAATTCTTAGGTTCAGAGTTTTTCAACTGAAGAGAGAAAAAGTTGTGAAGATATTTGTTGTGTGGTTTCCAGATATTCAAGCAGGAAAAAAATCAAAGGTGTAAAAAATATTTCACTGCTTTTCTTTCGCTAATCTTTTAAAAAGGAGAAATGAAAGCAGTAGAAGATTTCAGCCATCAAATCCGTTTTTTGAGGTAGATTTGCCATATTACAATAAAAAGGAATTGAGTCAAGGAGCGAACTGCTTCACCGAACACATTACAGAAAACAATTTATTGCGGGGCAAAAATATTCCAATTTTTCTTTAGGGAAGAACGAGTGACAGGTAACAGAAAGAACCAAGCAAGCTACACGACATATTTCATATCAACATACATTAATAAAAGTAAAAAACAAACAAAAAACTAGAATCACTGTGCATTTACAATTTCTTTTTTTTAACAAAAGCTTTTTTTTTTTTAAAAGATCGGAGACCTTATTCATCCACACCATTATCTCTTCTGTGTGGGCTACAAGACAATGATACAAAGGCCTAAAGGACAAATGAGCAAATTAAACGTATTCACATTACATGAAATTATGCTTCTGCACATAATGCAACGTGTTGTCTTCTGTGCTGACGGTTTACCAACACACAGTCAGAAAGCCGTTATTATAATACAGATTAAAAAAAATCAAAAAAAAAAAAATCCCACAAACAAAAGCGACCATGCACAGACACCATTGCTGACATGCTGCGACCAGAGTATCGTGGTTCTGTGCACACTTGAAACGAGAACTCTCGGGATTTCTTCCCATTGCTGGGCTCCATGTACAAAACTATAATAATATTGTTAATTAGAAATATTGTGATGATGTTCATGATGATAGTAATACAACCAAAATATAATAATAATAACCAGACAATAATGTTACTTAGAATATTAATAATATTAAAAATAATAGCAAAGATAAAAATAATAATAATAAGCTAATAATGATAATAATAAGAATAATAAAAATAATAAGAATAATAATAGTAATACATATAATAATAATAATAATAATAATAATAATAATAATAATAATAATAATAATAATAATAATAATCATCATCATCATCATAATAATAATCATCATAATAATTTTTAAAAACAAGAGGAAAAAAGAAAAAGAACAACAGTTATAGCAAAAATAATCCCAATAGTTATAATGAACAAAGATAAGAATTCTGATTCAGTCATCATGATATTGACAATAAGAGCACACTCACTTTACAGATGTCTAAAGGAACAGAATTTACATGAAACAAACGCCAACATGACAGAACCACCGTGGTGTAGCGGTACCGTACAAATGAAGACTTTCCTTTAGCTAATAAGACACTGAACATGAGAGAGTGCAAGCGAAATAATATACAAGTGTAGCCGTATGGCGTATTATCTTCATCTTTGATGAGACGACTATATATATTATATATATATACAACTCAGGTGACCTCTGCAGTAGGGGTCAGCCACTTTCTAACCTGGTCAAAAGACACCGTCTGCTTCTTCGCGTAACGCGACGTGACGTGACGGACCAGAAAAGGTAAGACGTAATTTTCTCTTCACTACATGACAGCTTTCTCCGAGTGAGAAGAACATTCCGAGTAAGTCCGTCCTTGAACTTTCTCCCACCACCCACCTAGCCAGCCTCTCAAACTCACTTGGAAACTCTGACTCTGTTGCTCGCTCTGTCCTTTGGCCATGTGGGTTTTCTCACAGATGTCCGATTGATAGATCTACGACCAGCAAAACAAGAAGATCCGAACCCACATCTGTAGCGCAAAGGTTTCATCACACACACACATAGATTCAGAAGGTCTATGAATGAAGCCCCTGAACCAAGAGCTCATTTACAACAGAGAGAACAAAAGTGCCCTACTTCTTTGACCATCCGAACGAGAGTTTTGCCTGCCGAGTTGCTTACAGAAGAACCGTAGATCAATGTAGGTCAATCCAGAATCCTCAGGGTCAAAGGTCAATGTAAAATGAGAAGCTTACGTCCACGGAAATTGATAGAGTTTGCTACACACCAGGCATGTTTGAAGAATCTGTTAGAAAACAGGTACACTTCACAACAGTAGCACAACACGCCATATTGCAGTGAACTGCAAGCGACAACGCATTCGCACAGATGGTCAGTTCAGTTTTCTGCACCGTAGTTGTTGCCCTCACAGAGCAATGTCTCAGACATTTTCACTCAGCAGCAACTCTCACTCCTGTCTTCCGAGAACGTAGCCTGTTATATCCACCCCCCGCCCTCCCCCCCGGTAAGCATCAGTGCGTTCACAAGTTGTAACAAACAAGCATACAACCGAACCCTTCAGCAAGTGACGCGACCTCTCACTCCGTCCCGGCAGCAGCAGCTCATTGTCTTTTTGGCGCACGGCAGTGGGTGGGGCAACACACGGACATTCAGGGGAGCTGGAACTTGCAGCACAGCAGTGACAAAATCTTCGCAGCAGCATTTTCCAATAATTGTACTCAGCTCTTCCTGGCACACCCTCTAAGATCCGGTTTCTTTTACAAATACATCCTCCAGCGCTTTGTAAGGATTTTAGCAAACATTTCCTAGCTGCTCCTTTTTATACCTCTTCTTTAATGCTATTTTCCTTCATTTGTGTCACATATCTGAATAACATTTCTCCCACATATGGACTTGTCCCAAATTGGAGATGATGATTATTTTGCCTTCTTATTTTATTTGTTACTGCATTCACAGTTCATAAACCTCCTTGATAGTTCAATAAAATATCTGTGTGGAAAAGTCCATTCAGGAAAGTCATTTATCTTACCAAATTTGAATTCACCTCCTCCCACCCCCTCCACCCCCCCTCCCCCAATGCATCTCTTTAGTGGGTTTCAATATTATGGGAGTATTTCAAGCCCATGGATCACTTTAATTATAGGCCTCCTTTCTTTTTGTATACTTCAAGTTTGTGTTTGACACATAACTTCTGATTTTACTTTCCTGAAGTAAACATGACTTTTAGTTTTGGGACTACAAGGCACCTCACTTACTGGAAAATTCCAGAACTCGTATTTTCTTGAGCCCATGTTTCTCCTTAGAAACATATTTGGCCACTGGATGATTCATAAGAAGGGCCTATCTATTCTGTTAGTCAAAAATAAATAAGACCCATATTGCACAATATTGTATATTATCTTGAGAATACTTAACTGAACGTTATAAAATAATTCCCACCCCACCCTCATATACCAATAAGTTAGTTTAGTCCACATTAGTCAAAAGCTTTATTCCTTATACTACATTCATCAAAACTCCCTGCTGGAACTCTTCCCTTCATCTTGATCTGTTCTGGATATCTCTGAACCACTAAAATGTTTCTCCTACGACTGTAGATGTTTTATTTCAATTATCCAACTTTGACCACTATGGCATGTCACTCAAGGATCACTAGAGACCGCGACTGAATGTCTGTTCATTGTCTCCACATGGAAACATTTGTCATCCATTATGACACAATATCGACTATCAATTGTTTTCTTACTTTACTTTTCCTTTATAATTTTTCATCCTCTGTAGCCGTTAAGCGTCGAGGGGAGATGCAGAAAAACATCCAGCGGTTGAACCAATGTTGAAACAATATTGAACGTCACCATCGAATATCCTCCAAATCATAAGCACTCCACCGCAGCCATCCACGCAAACTCGACCATTACAACAACTGACCACTGCCCTCAACTACCAGTCTGACTGACTGACTGACCCACTCCCCTGTGCCCACAGACGCCCCAGCAGCAATGGCGGCGTCCGTCCGTCTGTTCGTCTCCCCTCAGAGGTTGCTGGTCACCTCATTGGAGGCGGGGCTCCGCGGGCTCTCTGTGGGCTTGATCATCATCTGGACGGCCTTGAGAGAGGAGTACATGTGTATGGAGTTCCACTGGATGCCGTCTCGCTGGAAGTAGTTCTTGTGGAAGCCCTTGTGATAGTACTTGCCGTTGAGGTGCGCCTCGAAGCAGTTGCTGAACCACCACGCGCCCTGGTAGTGCTGGGCGCAGGAGTCGTAGTATCTGAGGAGAAAACAAAACAGATTTGGGTCAAGTTTTTATTTTTTGGTAACATGTTAATGCCTTCTCCATATCTTTAAAAAAACCCTGAAAAAAAACAACAACAGTCAAGCACAAATGGTCGCTTTTAAGGACAATCGGGCTAACCCAGTTTTTGAGGGTTTCCAGAAATCTTGATCTACACCAAAAGTGGGCATTGCTTTACCTATAGGAGAAGTTTGGTTTCATTGGTGTGTATATTTGTTTGGTTATAGAGAAAACTCTCCTTGTCTTTTCAAGAAACTGAACAAGGGGCAAAAACCTTACCTTTGATTTTTCTCAAAACAACATTTTTTGGGATAGCCCCTTTGCTTAAAAGCGACCAAACAAAACGAGCGTGGAAAACTCAAAATCACAGCCAGCATGACTGTACTAGTACTATTTTCCATTCCCTGATTAATATCTCTTTAATTTTTCTAAAATCTATCAATTAATAAGAATTATAGCTTATGTGTCGAATGTAATATACTTTGGTAATTTGCGACGTATTTGAGTCATCCATTCCCTACTGTATTTATATTTTAAAAAAAGAAATAATAAAAAGTAATATAGAGCTTGTGTTCGAGTGGGGACATGTGCTATACAAATCAT